TTTAGTCATTCATGACATTCTGTTTAAAAGCTCCTGCGTGCTGAGAGGAAAACAACCCCAGAGTAACTCTCACTGAGCAGTCCAAGTCTTAATGCAGCTTAATGAAGGCTGGAATTTGGTAATTTCATGTTTTGTTTTTGTTCGGTAGCCATTGGAGGAGGTATGAGCAAAACAAGTGGTTCAGTTGAAGCTACGTGACAATGTAGTAGCGGCGTTTTTGATGATCTTTCATTAGTGAGGATTGATTCTTCTTCTTTCCGCTGTTCCCTTCAGGGGTCACCACAGCAGATCATCTGCCTCCATCTCACCCTATCGTCTGCCTCCCTTGTCCATCCCCCCCATGGAGAAATTCACAACTGGAGTCTTTGCAAACCACACAGGAGGCACCATCAGGTATATGGGTCTTCTGGGCTAGGGACCCAATAAATCGAGATGATTGATTCAAATTATTTATTACAAACCAGATTTCTTGATAAATGCTGGTTTTTCTTTGTCACCCCTGTAAACCAACCAGTGAGAATTACTTAAGAATTGACATGGATGCTGCACAGAGGAAAACCTCTTGAGTGAAAAATACACCAGGGTACTCTGAGATTTAGTCCTGTTTTATAACCCATGTGTGGATACAAAAAGATGCTGAAATTAATGACAAACGCAGTGCACCAAGTAGACCTGTAGGAGCACAAAGCATCCTTTCTCTCGTCGGAGACCATAAACTGGGCCCGGGAGGCGGCCGACTACAGAGCAGAGACAGAGGTGGTGCTGGGCAATAAAAGGAGGAAGTGTCTGTTTGGTGAGCCCCTGGTGTACACATCAGGGAGTCATAACAAGCCAGTCGTGGTCAGATGAGCTGCGGGCTGTCATTTTTCTCCTTCGCCTTTACTCTGCCTACAGATCTGTTTCCTCTCTAATGCTGCCGTCCACTCCTGCCAGCTCCACGGTAAACCCACTGCTGAAACACCCAGCAATGCAATAACTGGCAAACATGAGCTCATGCACGTACACCATCACTCACACGCAAGCGCCGCACATGCTGAGCGCCCCGTGGGTAAGCCCCTGCAGAGGTGATTGAACACCGGCGGGGTCTCACACTCCTGTCATTTATAAAAGTGTCGCCCTCAGAAAAAGAGATGCTCCTCTAACCTTATTAGTAAGGCAGTTCTGTGACTCAATGCTGACACACCAGGTTGGTCGGGGGGGCAGTCAAGAGACAGAAAAAAAAGGTAACAAATTAGGGGAGAGGTTGAAGCGGCAGGAGATAGGACCAGAAATAATCAAAACATGGAAGTGGCCGGAGAAAAATGGAACAGACGGCATCGGAGGAAGAACGGAGACAAATTGAGACGAAATCAAAAAACGGAGAATATGGAAGGGGTGAGGAAGAGCCGGACGGCGACAAGAGAGGTGTGACTATCAATTCTTAGGGTGTGTTCGGTTTGGCAGGGCAGTTAGAGGTGGAGGAGACGCATCACTGCACTTGGTCCTCCAGCTCCATCCTTCTTTATCATCTCTGCCTCGGCCCTAAACCACCTCTCCAAAAAGACCTCTTATAAATATCCAAAGGGATCGTTGTCATCTCTTCTGCACTTCCTTGAATGAAACCCTCATAAAGCTTCCCCTTCATTGATATCCACACACTCCTGCCTTTTGTCTTTCTTGACAGGTAATGCTTTGGGTTGCTTTGAACCTACAGGGTTGAGAAGTGCTGCCACTGCACGTGGGTGTATTCCATCACCTGGATACCGAGACAACCCGGCTCAGACTCTTCCCTTTTGTATTTCTCTGCTGTTCTCGCTTGAGAGGTTTTTGAAATCTAGCTCAGTATAGAGGGCTGCCTTTGCTGAGAGAGCAAAGTGGGTTGGTGAGTCACATAGGATGGAATAGACAGGCCAAGGCTCTGCTGATAAGGTCAGCGCGCCCATTGCTGCTGCAGGCAACAAAATTAGCTCTCTTTATTTACAGGGCTTTTTCTGCTGTAGGCCAACCAGCTGCATGTTTGCAGGCCACCAGGGATATATGCACCGGGCTGGAGAGCTACGCTACTGTCCTCGACCACTGTTTAAACCAATAGGAAATAGTATTTATGCTGTTAAGGAATGTCTCCTGAATGTCTTCTTTGATCACACCCAAACAATTGCTTCTATGTGATGGATGTGTGTGTGTGTGTGTGTGCATGCCCATTCCCACAGTGATGCAAAACACAGACTGGCAGGAGGCTGATTCTTTTGTAAAGAATAAGGCAGCAACATTTGTGCAGCACTTCATTAATTTTTCATGACCAAACAGCAAGAGGTACAATAAGTACTCAGAGTCAGTCTTTTGGACAGAAATTAGCCCAGCTGTAGAAGAGAAAGTCAAGTGAAGGCAAATGAGTGAAGACTAAAAAAAAAAGAAAACCTCAGATAGATGCAACGTGATCAAAGTTAGAGCTCACAGGACTGTCACCAGTCGGCAAAAAAGTCATTACCCGTCTTAAGTCACTACAAAGACAAGAGTAAAACGTGACAGGCAACTGCTACTGAACAGAGCGCATGAATAATAGTTTTAAAAACCCTGAAAGAAACTTCAAGCATTAAAGAGAAGCTCATTGCTTTCTGTCCCCATTAGTTTAACCCCATCACTTCAGAGAGGAGCAGAGATACAGGGAGACATGAAAAGCATTTGGAAGACGAAGAGACACTGAAATATATATATATATTATATATACGTATATATACACACACACAAGAGTTCAGCTAGTCAGAAAATAGACGACCAAGTGTTTTCTGTCTTGTGTGTGGCCCACTTATCAGCCGGTATGCAGTACGGCGTTCTGCTTACACAGCCCTATTGGCTGATTCATATCACAGAACCAGTGTTGAGATAATGGCAGAGAGTGAATCAAAGAGAATAGCAAAGGCTGGTGTTTGTGAAGTGAATGGTAAACCACAGGCACGGAGCTGAAGCCTTAGAAAATCTGAGCACCAGCCAATTAAAAGTTTATATCCAATTCCAGTCAAGTTAACTTAGTTCTGGTATGTATGAGGTGAGTGAGACATGTATAAATGTCAGTGGGACATTCTGAGCACCTGTGTGTATTTGTACTGAAAAACACGCTGAAGTTAATTTGTGGGAACAGGCAACTACCAGGAGGCCATTTATGTCCCGTGGTAACATTTCATACGGCCTGCAAGATTAGTCACAAATTTTCAGTTTCATAATTTTTTTTTTCTCTGAGAGATTTTATTTCATC